TTATCAATTTCTATTTATTTTCCAGGCTTTTTTCTCTCTAATGTGAAATCTTCCGATTAGAACTATGAATATTCTACTTGCATTTTCATTGCAGATAACACAGTTAATAAATGGCGGGCATTTAAGGAAAATATCAAAATTTTTTGTTTAACTTTTCTGAATTTGCAATCCCCTGCTGGAACACATAGCTCCTATCTTCTTCCTTAACAGTGGGATAACTGATATTCCCATGGTAATTAAACCTGAAAAGGAATCTGAAAATTCATTAGAGATTATGTTTCCAAGCACTGCTAGAACAGTGCTGAGGATAATGGGACCCCATGCATATCCAGGACCCAGGTTAACTGGAAAAATAATTTAATTCAAAAATACATTATTAATAAAGGGAAATTTTATGTTTCAGTAACTCATAGGGTTTGTTGATTTTTTTTTTGTGATCAAGTTGTAGCTTTTGATAGCTGTAGGCAGAAGGGATCTTCTATTGGTCTGTCTTGCACGGTTCTGTTTAGGTTAGGGTTAGGTATAAGTTGGTAGTAGGGTCAGGTCTGGGTTATGCCCTATAAAATAAATGCAAGTCAGTTAGATGTCCCCATATGTCATAAAAACAGCTGTGTGTGTGTATGTATCAGGGGAAAAAATGTAATAGTAGTAATAACAAACTTTAATCCAAAAGTACATCCTTACTACACTGTTATCAGTTTAACAATTAAGGTTGTTATTTTAAAGAAATATCACAAGGTATCTGCTTTCCTTCTACATATGTGAAATGCAGACAGTGCAGAAAAACTTTTTTTGTGTTATGCAAATACCTGATATTTTTCTAAATGTTTTAGATCATCAGGTTCATTTTAAAATTGGACAAAGATCACCAAATTTAAGCAATAAGCACTAGATTATTTAATTTACTAGGGGAGAAAATCTTTAAGTCCTGTATGAAGCACCATGGATCATCAGCATCAGCAACCTCAGGTTCCCTGTCCTACCACCATTTTTAGATTGTCGAAATTATACTCATATTTTAGGCACATAGTTCCTTAACTGAATTGAATATGTAAAAAAGAACCAACAAACAGGCATCCAAACAACACAACAAACAAACAACAGGTTGTGTCGATATATTTTTTCCTACCACCATTTTTAGATTGTCGAAATTATACTCATATTTTAGGCACATAGTTCCTTAACTGAATTGAATATGTAAAAAAGAACCAACAAACAGGCATCCAAACAACACAACAAACAAACAACAGGTTGTGTCGATATATTTTTTCCTACCACCATTTTTAGATTGTCGAAATTATACTCATATTTTAGGCACATAGTTCCTTAACTGAATTGAATATGTAAAAAAGAACCAACAAACAGGCATCCAAACAACACAACAAACAAACAACAGGTTGTGTCGATATATTTTTTCCTACCACCATTTTTAGATTTTCGAAATTATACTCATGTTTTAGGAACATTGTTCCTTTACTGGATAGAAAATGTAAAAAAACAAACAAACAGGCATCCAAAGAACAGCATCCAAACAACACAATGCTGCCACCACCATGTTTCACGGTGTGGATGATGTTTTCACAGTGATGTGCAGCTTAGATTCCTTTCCAAAAACAGTGTTAAAAAATATAGTCCACTGGACTTTTTTTCCAAGTTTAAAGACGTTTCCCATCCCATCCGGGGAGCCCGGTGTTGTCAGGTTCTGATGACAGAAAGCCGAGCATGTCCCTACAAAACAGAAGGGAAGCAAGAAGAACAGAAACACATCAAAGGTGCTCACCAAACCTTACTGGGCGTTTGTCAAATCAGCAAGGAAATCCAAAAGACACGCAGCAGAACATAATGGTGAGATAATTTAATGCAAAAACATTTAATTATCCATATATGTTGCTGGAGTCTCTGTAAAACTCAAGAGGATTTTCTCCAAACACAAAATCCCAGTAGAATTCAAACCAAACAAGACGCTTAAACAGAGACTAGTGCATCCTAGAGACAAAACCCCCTGACCAAATACGAGCGGAGTGGTGTATGCAGTTAAATGCATTGAGGAATGCTGTGATCTTCATATTGGAGAAACAAAAAAACCTCTCCACAGATGCATGGCCCAACACAGAAGAGCGACCTCCTCCGGACAAGACTTGGCTGTACATAGACACCCGATGAACAAAGGTCATTCTTTTGAGGACCAGAATGTTCACATTTTGGACAAAGAAGTAAGGTGGTTTGAGAGGGATGTGAATGACGCCATCTATATTAAAACAGCAAAAACCTTAAACAGAGGGAGTGGACTCAAATTTCATCCATAAAAAACCTACAAAGCATAGGGTTGATTCCTTCCCACTATCATCTCAACACCATTCCCCATGCAGGGGACCAAAACATCTCGCCTGGTCAGCCAGGCCAACAACGACCTCCCTTTCAAAGGCATAGACCAGTATCAGGTATTGCAGGCCAAAAATGGCCTCAAGGACTCCCCATTCCTAAGGGGAGGACTTGTTTTCTAAGCCAAATCAAGGCTTTATTTTGGGTTACTCTATAAAGCTTGGGACTCAACACTAATTCTGACATTTTGAATTGAAAAAGCTTCCTGGATGGAAAGCGTAATGTCTTCAAACTTGGAAACAAAGTCCAGTGGATTGTTTTTTTTAAAACACTTTTTTTTTTTTGAATGACTATGACCTGGATAACTGAGAATCATCGCAAGCTTATGTTCCTTCATTTCATTTTGCACTTCGGTCTGAATCTTACTTAATTAGCCAGAGGAACCTGTGTCACATGTTTACTGTCCCCAACATGTTTTTTGGTTAGTTGCAACAGGTTGTGTCGATATATTTCTTCCTACCACCATTTTTAGATTGCCGAAATTATATTCATGTTTTAGGCACATTGTTCCCTTTCTGGATTGAAAATGTAAAAAAAAGAACAAACAAACAGGCATCTGTGAATTTAAATTATTATCCGATTTTAATGAGAAATGGTACAACAACAAAAAAAATATTTTTATTATATATTATCATCAGTTACACAATAGTTTTTGCGGCAGCGGAAGTCAGTCGGAGGATAGCTGATGTAACACATGGAAAGTTCCGGATTAACTAAAGGTCGAGATAAAACTGCGAGCGTGTGTCATAGCAGCTCAGAGTTGCGTCCATCTTTTCTCACACGAGCAGCGAAACAAACTTAACTCTTGAAAATGCCAAGAGGAAGCAGAAGCCGACCCAGCAGGATGAGCCCTCCTGCCAGGTAATTAAATACATTTAACGTTATTTGCCTAAATTGTTGAAACCGTGGGGAAACTGTAAGAATGCGAGGTGCGGGTTAGCCGATATGCTAACATTCAGGTAACTGTTACGGCGTCATCTACCAAAGTCTGAACCTGGAACGTTAGTGAGATTAACTGCTGTCAGTGATTTAAACTTTATTTAGTCATTTAAATCGGATGTTTTATAGCCGCTTTAAGCTGTTGTCTTTTTCTTGTAATCGACTTAAATGAATGAAGGTCATTATGTTATATAATGTCAAAGATATATCTTATTAAGACTTAAAAAGGTCAACTTTTAAGTGTATCAGGATAACTTCTGGTCTAGCTATGTCTGTTGTTTTAATAGACATATTACATCGATGTGTCTCAAATATTTATTTTGTTGAATTTCCAGCAAATATTTCCAGGTTATGGGTCAATTTTCTTTAAGATAAACAACAACCATCTGTACTGAAAATAAGGAAAATCATTCTTGTAGCTGAAAAAAATAAAGTAGAAAAGGTGAGCTGATTGTTAAATAAAAAAAATAATTTATTCTAATAAATTACAAAATAGCATATGTAATGCATAAATTTTAGGCTGTGCAAATATTTGGCCCAAAACAGTGGCTACATAAGGACCAGACCAAACATACTGTTGATGTTTCAAACAGCTTTCTGTTTTGATGTATGCCGTTAGATGTGATTCTTTAACAGCTGTTGATGAGGATTAAAATTTTCGAAGTGTATAACAATGTAATAAGCAGTGACCGTGGGGATCCCAGCTCTGCTGTATAATGTGACCTGAGGAAACCTCCAGCCAGTGCCTTAAGGAAACATCAGCCTAGATTTCAACACAGCTTGCACTTTAAAATTATTCCTATTTAAAGGGAAACTATTAAAACACCTGATGTATAAAATTGTTAATTTAATGCTCTAGAATTATATTTTTCTTTTAATTCATAAATATACACAGCTGCTTAACTTTTCTGTTCCTATATTAAGGATTAAGGTGTTGATATAAAATGAGTTATTTACTGCATAGTTTGGCCTTTTGTTGACGCCGTTTTCCCTGACCTTTTAAATTGAACTTTACTTTCCACAGCCGGGCACCACCTTCACCTCCACCAATGGCCAGGGCGGCACCTCCAACTCATGCTCCAGTCCCCATGCAGGCCGCTCCATCTGCTGTTGGTGCGCCAGCCGCAGCGCCCAGACAGCCTGGCATGTTCGCACAGATGGCAACGACAGCCGCAGGCGTGGCAGTGGGCTCTGCAGTGGGACACACCCTCGGTCACGCCATGACTGGTGCCTTCAGCGGAGGCAGCTCTGAGGCTGCCAGGCCTGACGTCACATATCAGGTAAACTGATGAGCAGCCTTCTGTGAAACTAGGGTTGGAGAAGATTATTTTGTTTACCAGACAGCTGGCAGGACTGTAATTAAAGATCCAGTAAAGAGTTGTGATAGAATGAACATGACAGGTAAAGCTCTTGTTTGGACCAGGACAATAAGGATTTGGGACTGTAAATAAGAATGACCCATTTAAAGATTACCGGCCTGAGAAACCCTTGAGCCAGTTCAAATAAGGAAACCAAGTTTTCATCAGAAAAGACCACCAGTTAGTTTATATCAGAATTAGATGAATTGCTTGATCACCATCAGAGCTTTTATTACGCACTTAGACCAGCGTCTTAACTCAAGATGCCTGAAGTTGTTTTCTGCTAATGAAGGATCTGTCAACCATCATTGTGTGTTTTGTGTCCATAAGGAGCCGTACCAGCAGCAGGGACAGCAGCAGGCAGACCAGACGCAGATGTGCTCCTATGAACTGAAGCAGTTCCTGGAATGTGCTCAGAACCAGAGTGACCTGAAGCTCTGTGAGGGATTTGGCGAAGTGCTCAAACAGTGCAGGTTTGCTAATGGTAAGTTTACATATGCAAATGTAAATAGAAAAACATTTTCTCGACTATCTACTTCTGGTTTTGTCAGAGTTTTTGTTTATTTTTTAAATAGCTTTTTATTTCAGAATTTCTTTTTATCCGCTCTATTGGTTTACATTGATTCTGAGTGCATTGATGTAAAACTAGTTAAAACTATATTCAAGGATTTGAACATTTTTAAGTGCCTTCATGAGGTTAAAGCCACAGGAGATATGTGTTTTAGGCATTAATTATAAATCTTCAAAGCCCAACGTGTAGACTTAAACTATTAAGGTTTCTTCTACTTTCTAAAAAGTCAATAAAATAGGATTTTTTTCTGTAATATGTCTTTTCCTCTGGCAAAAAAAAAAAAATCTCTATTGCTGTTTTCCACTGTTCCTCTACATACTCTGAGGTTTTGGTCAATCAACCTTTATTTATCAGCCCATTAAAGAACATTGGCATAATGGTCATCTATGACAGTATTGTTAATTCTGGGGGGGTTAGGTCCAAAGAAGTACTGCAGGGAAATATAATGGGTATAACCACAAAGCAAAAAAAACAAAAAAAAACAAAACTAATAGACATCTTTTTTGGACTTAATGAAACAAGGTGGACCAACACATGTAGATAAGGCTCCATAAATCACAGCTGGCTGTTCAAATGTCACATTAGACCTCAAGCAGCTTGGATTCTGGGCCTCTCCCTTTTTCTGTCTCTAGAGACTCTTGTCCTTGATCTCCTTAGTCTGCAAAAGGCGCTTTTGACATTGCGTGGGGTTTAGAGGTGGCTTAAAACAAAGAACCCTGACGTTTGTAGACCATGTCCTGGATACGTCTGTCCCATGAAGCTCTGTCTAGCCTTCAACTTGTCAATCTCCAAACTTTAGAAACCCATGTGCTTTAAAAACCAACACTGGGGCTTTCTCTTGTACTCCTACACCCCTTTCTACAACATATCTTCCTTTAACTTAACTTTTCATTAAAACAACTGAAATTTCCCACTTGTTGGATTGATAAAGATTTAACTTGTCTCTTGAATACATCACTCTGGATGGTCATCTCCTGTGGGAAAGACCTGCAAGAACAAATCAGGAACTTCCGTATTATGATGAAAGCCACAATACTTATGGATTAAAATGCATTTTTTTTGTCCTCTGTAGTCTACTTTTCTAAATTGAAATTACCAAATAAACTCAAGTAAACAGAAAACAAGAAGTAAAATGTATTAGTCAGTGTTATGCATCCATAAAGTGTTAGTTTTACTTTCTGAATATAATGACCGAATTTAAATTGAATTATCCTTCTGTCTAGATGTTGTGAGAAACCTGCTGCAGAGTTTAATCCTAGTAACCTAAATATAGCAAGTCTCTATTGTACAGAAATGTTTAACTGATCAGTGAATCTGAGGTACTTCTGAGATGGTGAGCTGTTTCAGTTGTATTAAAAACTCACATATTTTATATCTTTCTTTCCCTTTATTTTTTTTCTCTGAAGGGGACTAGAAAATGAGGAGCAGAAGGTAAAATAGAATGTGGATGACTTAGCATTAGAATGATGGATAGTAGAGCAGTACTCAGTGTGACCACTAGGGGGAGTAGTGTCAAGTGTCCTTTTTTCTTAATGTGTTGTCAGGTTTTCCATAAAACTTCTTTTTAAATTTTTTTAAACAATCTCATTGAAATGTCTTTCTCTCCTCTTTAGGTCTTTCTTGAGATGAAGACAAAAAGTCCTGCAGAGTTGAGATCATGTGTCAGCTCACCAGATACTAGTGGGGTGTAATCTTCAAGGGATCAAACCACCAATAAACATGCTTTATTTAAACAAACTATTTGAAGCAACCTCATTTTGTTGTGAGAACACAGCTGCAGAGTTTGTAATCATAGTCTTATAAATACTGTTTATATATTTTGGTGTCATTATTTTGAGTTGAGTGTAATTTAGATGATGCTTTTCATTAGCAGCGCTTTTATTCTAAAAGCTCAAATAACACAGAATATGTAGAATTAAGCTGCTGGTTCTCATCGTATGGTTTCATCAGATAAAGCAAATAAAGCACATGGATGATGACGTTGGTGTTTGATTTCACTGCCTCCTCAGCCACACCACACTGAACTGTTTCTATTCTTATCTGCTACATTCTTCAATTAGATTTTAGGAACATTGAAGCAGAGACACCTCAGGGCTCCAGCACCTGTTGTGTCACTCTGGTCTCGGTGCTAAACGCAAGCGACACATGGGAAGTGTGCCTTAAAGCCTTAGCTGTGAGAGAAGGAGCTGCTTGGATGTACGTTTGGTAATCTGGATTTTTTTTTTTTGCACGTGAAGTTGCTGTGGAAGCACCCATTTATTTTTGGCATTTGACATTAAAGCTCACCCTTTACAACATGGCACTAGCGACTCTACAGCGCTCCTGCTGCACTAGAGTCTGAGTGGATTTCTAAGTGGTTGATTTTTACTTCTTGGGAACAGACAGGACACTTTTAACCATGGAGTCCCTCTGTGGGAGCAGGCGCTGAAAGACGGTGAGTGAGCTGGGGGTTTTCTTCTGTCTGATTTTATTGGAGCATGATGGAGATTCATAAGGGATCCTTTCATTCAAACACTGCTTTGAGGTAAATCTAGAATTTGAATTCAACTTTATTGTCACACACTGTCACAGGTACAAACCAACAAAATGTAGTTTGCATCTATCCAGAAGTGCTATACAGGATATAAATATATAAACGTGTAAAGAAACTAAATGGTTTATATAAACGTAGTAATTGTAAAAGGCTATAAAATAAATATGAAAGCTATGAACAGATTATACAGGAAAATTAAATATATATATATATATATATATATTAGTGGGGTTATAATATAAATCTAGGTTGTGATTTTAACTGCAATGGACACTGCTTAAAATCGCATGAATAATCAGACTAGAAATCCAATCAAATCAACCGTTGAGTAAATCAGGTCTAACACTGTTTTGCAATTTCTCCACCCTGTGTGTAAAAACAATTTGAATCTTAAGTTTTAAACTATACCAACATAATCCCACACTAAAAAATGAGGATGCAAACGTATTTGATTTATAGGTAGGAGGCAAAAAAGAACATTGTACAAGCATCTTTTCCCACTAGGATAGTTTTCTACACGTTTAATAAGGTAGACTCACGCAAAGCAGGATGTTTTACCACTCACAATCACTGGACCAAAGTCCTGCGCTTACTCCTAAATTCTCTTCAGCTAACACCACCACATTCTTAAAGGATTTTACCCTGGGAATGATCTTGCCTCAGGATAAGTATGTTGAATCTCCACTGAATCCTTTGTGTTCATTTAGCCAAAGATTTCCAGAGCAATTCATGATTTATTTTCAATTTTCCAATGAAGACCAGTATTTACAACAAAGATCTGTATTTAAAATATCCAAATTCCCAGGGCCTTGGAAGAGAACTGGGCCCACAGTACCACAGAGCCTCAACCTTACTTAACAGTATGGATTACGACCCTTTTACCAACTGCTTTTTGTTTCATGCTGGAGTGTAAAAAAACAAAACAACTTTCAGTGTCAATCCTGTCCTGATTTAGCAAACTCTATACATATAGCTCTGTGTTAACAGGAAATAAAATGTATTTCTTAAGCTGTTTCTGAATGAAATGTTCTCTAGTGTTTTCTATTCAGAGGAACGGCTAAGAAATTCTGCCTCTGCATGATTTAAAGGAAATGTGAAGTCACTAACCCAGTCCACCCAGTGCCTGATTCTCTAGTGTCTCTTGGTGGACTGGATATTTAGCAAACATTGGCAAAATGCTATTGTTGTTGTTATTGAAAAGGTCATTAGTCTATCTCAGAAATAAGATGCAATAAGTGACTAAAAGTTATTCAACACATAGACCAAAAACAAATATCAAGCTTAGCTCCGGTATTTGATTATGCCAATAATTGTACTAATATAGTTTGAGGAAATTAGTCTGTGTGATGTTATTCCACTGCAGTAAAACTATGGAATTTAGTGGCATCAGAAGGTATTGAGAATGAATGCACATACATTAAAAACCTCAGTGTTGTTTTGTGCATGTTTAGTTCTTGCAGCTCTCTTTGACGTATAAGAGGAAAACATTTACTTACCTTTCGGACGTGAACCAGCGCTGCTTCATCATGACCAAAGAGGAGGAGATCCCAGACTGGGTGGGAGCACAGGAGTTCTACGACAAGTACGAACCCAAGGAGATCCTGGGCCGGTATGTGTTTGGAGTGCAACATTCAGAATTACTGAGGGTATTTCCATTCCTTTTGGGTGATGACAAATATTTTTATAATGATCTATGAATTGAGACCCATTTCAGCTGTTAGTTTTTAGCCTGTAAATCAGTTTTAGTCCCATTATGTCAATTTAAACAAACTCTAATCTATTTTATGTTGGTAAAACGGGACACTTTAAAAGAAAACAGTCTTAATTAAGAAGTAGCTATATCTGCAGGTAATAGAGAATCAATCATCATTATTGTCATTTTCAACCAATTATATTTTTATGAACATTTTGCTCAGAATGCATAAAAATAAAAAATAAAAGATAAAAACAAAATTACATAAAAACTATGAGGCATGTGAAGAGGAAAAGTGGATAATTTACAGCAATTGAAAAATAAAACGCTAGAAAAACAATCTAGAAATATGTAAAAAAAAAAAAATCTTCAATTCATTTCAGGTAAATAAGATAATTTTCCAATGGAATGAGTTTTTTTTACTCTTAAAATAAGATCATAGATAATATGCACTTGAAATAAGACAATGCAATTGTTTTTTCTTATTTTAAATGTAAATTGTTTTATTGTCAAAGTGTCTTACTTACTTCTTTAAGCCAAGAAAAAATGCAACTATCTAAAGAAAAAAAAAGGCATATTTAGATTTCATTTTTTGCAGTGTATAAAGTAGATCTCCTTTCCTTAGAGGCTGATGTGCTTCAGTTAACCTTCAGTTATGCAGTTCCAGGCTATCATCTATTTACTTTTTCTTATCTTACTTGATTATTTTAACTTTGTGCATTTCAACATATTTTTTTTTTTTTTTCTGCATCTAACTCATCTCCTTAGGGGGGAGCGGGCTGCCATTGTCCATTGGAGCATTCTGGGATAGGCTCACAGGACAAAGGCTAACCACACAGGCCATGACTCCCCGTAATTCTGTTGGACAGGCTCTATCTAACTGTTTTTATGATTTCACTGCTGCGGTTGTTATTAGGGAACTTTTTCATTTCTGATACGATATCAATATTGCAGTTTTGAGTACTGACCAATACTGATATTGACCTGATACAATATTACCTCAAATCATACAAGCTTTCATAAGTAAAGGCTTAATAAGTAATATTACCAAAACAGAGAACAAAATTCAACAACATTAGGTCAGAGAACAACTGACTCATGTTATATTAAGCAATGGGTTAAACTTTAACAGAAGCTGACTGATTTTATCTGTTTGCTAATATTGGAATTTTTTGGTCAAAATCAGACCAATATCCCACATTGATATAACCCATATAGCCTGATGACATCACTGGTTGTTATCAAGCTTAAGTCTGGCTACTTAAGTTGAATTTTTATTTTTTGACAGAGGTGAATAATATTTTCCCAAAGGGAGCAGTTAAGATAAATATCCCTTAATACGTTTCATGACAATTTAAAAGCATTTCAAATCGACTGCTGTTATCTTTGTTTGATATTCCAATTAGTTTGATAATTGGAAAACATTTAGGTGCAGAAAAAAACTCAAAGATAGAAGAAAGATTTAGAAAACCATTCATCCTATTCTTACTGTTATGTTTTTTAACCTCTATTTGCACCCACTTGCAATCAATACACAAACATTAAATAAACACTTAGAAAAATGTATAACAGAAAATAAGTGGGTTAAAAAATAAGTCAGCATAAAAGCAAGAAGAAAAGTAAAAATAAAAGTTAAAATATACATTTTTAGACAAATAATCGATTAATTGTAGATATATCAAATTTTTATTATTTTGTCCCGTTTAATGGCACACAAATTCATATTATTTGCTAGTTTTTCAAACAGTTTTATATTATTAAGTCCTTCATTTTTTTCTGTATGTGTTTTTATTTATGGCAGGTTTGGTCTTTCGTCGATCTGTAACAAAATATTCAAATTAAATACATCAAAGTTTTCTGTTTGTGAAATGCAAAACTGTGAAAACACATCTTAAAGGACAAAGTGCACGTCTGTCTTCATGTCTCCACTGAGTTTTTTTTTTTTTGGAGGGAATGGTCTAAAATACCTGCTGCTCTGATTATCATTCCCCGCTGCCTCTAAGATGGTGGCTGTTATGTAAGCCTCAGCGTGCAGAAGGCAGCATTCATTAACTTCCACACGTTGTGGACAAAGGTTATAGTGTTAGGAGGGTCTCTGGACCGATGGTCATGCCGGGTGATTGCGTAACAGTGTCTTTCTCCCATACAGGTCAGCAGGTCGTTGGAAGTGAGGAAATTATGTTCATTAGTAGTCAGGTCCACATACTTAGTTTCATTAGGTTAAACTCAGGGATCTGACTCAACCTTTAAAAAACAACTTCCTCAGACTATAATAATATAGATTTTAAATCTGTTGTTCCTGTAAATCACCAAAAGGTGAATAAAATCATGAGCTATTTAAAAAAATAAAAACACAGAGATTGTTTCTGAAGTGAACAAAAGTGTCACATTTGTGCTCAGATGTTGGTTGACGTTTTCTTCTCTGACAGGGGGGTGAGCAGTGTGGTACGCCGCTGTGTGAACAAGCGCACCGATCAGGAGTATGCTGTAAAGATCATAGACATTACCCCATCTGACAAAATTACCCCGCAGGAGATTGAGGAGATCAGAGAGGCGACGGTGAAGGAGATTGACATCCTTAAGAAAGTCTGTGGGAAGGAAAACATCAGTAAGCACTTTTCCTAATCTCTAAATGTCCGATGATGCTCAGATATCAGCTGATCCACTGATGAAGTGATTTCTTGTCTCCAGTACAGCTCAAAGACTGCTACGAGTCCAAAGCTTTCTTCTTCCTGGTTTTTGATCTGTAAGTGTTGTGGTTTATGTTAGATTTACACGTCTAACCGCTCAAATAAGCTGCAGCCTATGTTTCATTTTCCTCCTCCCAGGATGAAGAGAGGGGAACTTTTTGACTACCTCACGGAGAAAGTAACTTTGTCAGAAAGGGAAACCAGGTCTGTAAGCCAGCTTTACCAACATTACTCCCTGTAATGTTTTTTTAAACAGATAAATGTTCATTTAGGAAGATTATGCGTGCTTTGCTGGAGGTGGTCCAGTTCCTTCACGACCAGAACATCGTTCACCGGGACCTAAAGCCTGAGAACATCCTGTTGGATGACAACATGAACATCAAACTCACAGACTTTGGCTTCGCCGTGCAGATCCAGCCAGGACAGACACTCAAAGGTGGGTGGAGGTTTTCAGTGGAGTCACAAGTCAAACCAATAGTCCCTTAAATCCTATATCTGCTACAAAATTCCCTGACAACCTCAAGCTTTGACTAAAGGATAGAGATCAGCTCCAGCATCACTTCCTGTAAGATCAGTTGATACGTTTAGTGCCCTCCACAAGGAAAACTGCTATCTTTCCTTCTTACACAACCTGCTGTTTCATTAGAGCAACAGTTGGTGCTTTGGGGGGGCATGAATCTGGATCTAGTTGCAAAGCGTGCTTCCTGCTATGAACAGCACAGGACACTCTGATCTATTGGCTGCAGCCAGAGGGCCGTGGTATGCTGACCTTTCTAACTAGACTTCCCAGAAACCTTAAGATCATCATCAGCAGAAACTGGCGATGAAGTGAACTTGGTGGACTCCAAGGGTTAGGACCGGCGTCTAATTAAGCGTGATGCAGCCATCCTCTGGTAACCGTAAAATATGCTAGACAAAAGTCAATAGATAAGCCTAAATTCAACTTTTAGTAGATGTATTTTTAAACACAAAAGACAGGAGAAGTTTTGCTTTGTAAGTAAAATTATAAATCAGAAAATTTAAAGAAAAGGTGAAAAAAAAAAGAAATAATGCAACCACTGAGCTTCCACATACGTAAATATTAAAACTCTTATTTTTTTTTTATTAATTTAGCATTTCTGTTGATAAAGGGAGGTAAAGGTTGATCTGACTTGGTTGGACATAAAGCAGCTGCATTTTAAAGTTTCCAAACACATCAAGCTTAGAAATGTAATTATGCCCTAATCATATATGCTGAAATCATAGGTGGTTCTAGACAGGCCGACAAGGCCCAGTGTCCTCTAGAACTGGTCTTTCCCTGTAATGAACACATATGATGCAAAATTGAAATATAGGGAAGTAATTTTTTCTTAAAATAGTGTATTTTCTCTTAATTTGAGCAAGTAAGTAAGAAAAAATGCAGACGATATAAGATGATATAAGTTTAAAATAATAAGAAAAAAAGAACTGTTTAATATCAAGAGCTAAAGTTATTATTCCTTTGAGGAATAATGTTATTTACTTTCTAAATTAAGGGAAAAATACTATAATCTTAAGAATTTTTTACTTATTTAGATCATTTTTTTTCTTATTATGATATGCAGTGACAGAAGAGACTGTAAATGATTCGTCCCTTTGACCTTTTTAATTTTTCTCCTTTATAATTTACGTTAATGATTAATGAGAAGTTACAGTCAGCTTTAACCTCCAGCCGTATTAAAAAGAGGATCACAGTTCTTATCTGTTGTGGCTGACTTTATAAACCAAACAATGCATCCTTACCTTTTTTTTGTTGTTATTCTGTTGTTCAGTGTCCCCCATGAAAAAACATTATTACGTGAATCTATAAGGAATAATAGGAATGGATTGTAAAAGCAATGGTAAATATCCTTTAATGACACATACTTTCGCTGCACATTACTGAACTCTGGGTTTAGCTTTTTTTTTTTTTTTGCTAAGTAGATCAAACTTTTTGTAACCTTCATTATTAAAAACAGATTTTCACTTGAACATAAAAAAATAAAATAATTATTTCTCCCTGTTTTACATTAAATCAGACAAAACCGTTCCTTTCCATACAGAGAGACATCAATGTCACTTTCAAACAATCAACTCACAGGCAGGGTCTAGACATCTGAGTTCAACAGAGGAAAACAGTCAATTGTTATAAGAAAACTGAGGAGATCCTAATCAATCCTCGGATAAAGTTTTTCAAAGCCTAAAGGCGCCATTTTCATCTGACCAAACAATTAAATAACACCGTAAACATCACGGGAATATTCTGTGATTATACCGTTTAGGAAGAAGACAGTTCTGTCCCAAACACTAACTTTGAGCAAAAACAAAAGACCTTTGAAAGTACTAGTTACTAGCACTAATAGAGGAAGCAGCCATTACTCCAAAGGCAACAAGAATAAATAAATAAAAACAGATTAAAGTCCCCAAATGCACTTTGGGACAAAATTAGAACGAGGGGAAGCTTGATAGCCTGACAACCCCACCAACTGAGAATACGATAATGGAAGCATTGGTGTTGTGAAACTTCATCCATGCAGTTAAAGCTTTGTTAGAAACAGGTCTTTCATTTGGACATTGATCCAATCACACAGTCTGAAAGGGGCTTAATGGAGGAAAGTCAGGTCCAAGTCTCATCACTAATTAGAATAAAGTGTTTGCAAAGCTAAAAAGTGGTGTGGTCTGCAGCTAAACCTACCAACCTGACTCAGTTGCAGCAGTTTGATCTGCAGGAATGGTCACACATTCCTGCACACTTTTGTGAGAAGCTAAAGGATGGGCCTCCATACAGTTTAAAAAGGCATTTTACAGCTGACTTTTTTTTCCACAAAATTGACAAAAATTAAATCCTCTCATTGTATTCAGTTTATTTTAGAAAGGGACATTTTCTGGATTAATACTGTGATATTTAGACAACAGAATTTATTTGATTAAACATCCCTATTCACTAACATGTTTATTGTAACTATTGCAGTATGTCTAAAAACTGAAAAATGTGCACTCAGCTTTTACAAGTTGAGGTTTCTGCCTATTTGAACATGTGTTTAATGCAGAGGTGTGTGGGACACCGGGTTACCTTGCTCCTGAGATCATCGAGTGCTCCATGGATCCAGAACACAAAGGATACGGCACAGCTGTTGACATGTAAGTTTCCAGAGACTAATTGGTGCCCATCTCACATGGACAGTAAAAGGGGGATTTCAACTTTCCACGCTGACTCCATCTGTTCTGTGTTGGACTAATCAAAGCTTCGATCAGAGAGCTTGCTTATAGTTGCTGCTTAGAAAGGTCACAGTCGTCTCTGTCATTGATGCTTGTGTTTCCAGATGGAGCGCCGGTGTTATCATGTACACTCTGCTGGCCGGCTCGCCACCTTTCTGGCACAGAAAACAGATGCTGATGCTGCGGATGATCTTAGCAGGGACTTATGACTTCTCATCCCCAGAATGGGAGGATTGCTCTGATACAGTTAAAGATCTGGTAGGCTTTTTTTTTTCTTTAAACCCAACATTTAGGTTTGTCTTTTTAAAATTTCAGCAAAAGTTTTAATAACCTAAAGCTAATATTATACTGTTTAAGATCTCCCGGATGTTGGTGGTGGACCCAAAGCAGCGTTTCACTGCATCTGATGCTCTGAACCACTCGTTTTTCTCTCAGTATGTAGTTAATGAAGTGCGGCAGTTCAGTCCATACAGGCGATTCAAGGTAAGAGATCCTTCTTCTCATTATCAAATGTCATCCAAAAATACAGTTGAATGTTTTACAGCCTGTAAAGCAATTAAATAATTAGTATATTGGGCGTCTCCAACAGCACTGGGACAAATGTGTAACATTTTTGAGCTGAAGGTCTTTTAAAACTCCTTAAGTTTAAGTGCAGATTTTCTGTAGGTCTAAAGACTGAGTGTCTGGGATGCTTCTTAAATCTCTTTTTTATGTTAGCGATCTGTTTTGGTTCTTTGCTGATCTAAAAAAAAATGTTTTAGTTGAGATTGCATCAAAGCAGCCAGCTGCAATACCACTGGTACAGAAACATTAAAATATCTCCCTATTTAGCTCAAATTACCCAAAGAATTAAATGACTGGTTGCTGTTTGTTAGTGAACTTTCATAAATCAAGTAATCTTACTCCCACCACTGCACCACATGAGTGAATAATTTTCAGGAATATTCTTTAATATCTGCATCATTGGACAGTTATAGCCTGTATTTAATGCAGAGGTACCAAACCTTAAGAAACTTTAATTTCAACATAAAATGTTATTAATTTTACCTTATAAACTGTTTTTCCTCCATCAGGTCATCTGCATGACTGTCCTCGCCACCATGCGCATCTATTGCCACTACCGCCGGGCCAAGCCTGTTACCAAGGAGGTGATAAAGAGCGACCCGTATGCAGTCAAGCCCATCCGCAAACTCATCGACGCCTGCGCCTTCAAGATCTACGGCCACTGGGTCAAGAAGGGCCAAACTCAGAACAGAGCCGCGCTTTTCGAGAACTCTCCAAAGACCATCCTGCTTTCTATAGCTGCCGAGGCGGAAGAGTCGGGCCAACACAGCTGGTGATACGTCTGAACAACTGGGAATTACTTCTACTCAAGAAACTGAACTGGTAAAATCAGAACAGCCCTTAAGTGTCCTTGGAGGATGAGGGGAGAAGTGTGGGGGACGTACCTCCTAAAGCTTTTAGTCAGGGAAGCTTTTGGTTTTCTGTTTTACATAAAAAATATTCTGTAAAACGAGTTCTTAATATAGAGGAATATAGCCTCCACTGAAGTCTTCATCTTTTGTCAAAATATAGAAATGTTTCATTTAGGATCAGTTCGTATTTTCCCAAAATGTCAATCTTTAGTTTTGACTAAACTCAAACTGCATAGGCAAAAACAAAGGGAAAATGTGAGCTGCTCTAATGAAAGAATATTTTAATTTGTATAAACATATTTATTAAACTTTAATATTGAAACCCACATCTAATCTTTAAAGACTTTTCATGGTTTTGTTTCTTGCATCTCTTCCAGAGAACTCAATTTACAACTAAGGCTGAAAAGACAAAAAAAAAAAAAAAACCAAAAAAACAATTTTGTCAATTTTCCTTTCTGACCGACCACAAACATGTAAAAGGTCTCCCTCCAGGGTTTCATTTTTTTCATGACCTTGAATGCTTGCTTTTCCAGATTCCATTGTTGCAGGACTTTACCGTAACCTGTATGGAAGGTGCTTACTTCTATTGCTTGCATGAATCTACATGCTAGCTCAAATTTAGCAACATCCGAATTCGTCTTAAGTCTTGTTAAAAGTAACATAACCAAAGTTGAGTTCCTCTTCAGTTTGAAAATTGGATTTTGTTACATTGCAATTGCAATTAATTGCCTAGCCCAATTTAAAACACACACAAAAAGACAGTACACACGGGTTATTTTCAGCACAGTGACATGTTTATTATAAAAGTAGTGAGAAGCATTCACATAAATCTTTACAGGTCACTGAGTGCTTGTTTCTGGCACAGCCTCTCCCTGCAGTGTCCATTTACAGCCTCATTTGTGGTCTGGCTCTGTCCAGGTGGGAGGCATATAGTCATTTGTTACATGAAACAAGATGTTTCATGGAACACCTATGGACTGCAACTTTGACTCAAATAAATAACAAAGGAATGAAAATCTTTAAAAAAAAGAAAAAAGACTTGAATGTAGTTACCACAGAAAGAGCAGACTCCTCTCCTGTTTGGAAACTGGGTGCCCTGCAGGAAAAAATGTTTTTAAAGACATGCTATGAATATTAAGTTTATTGTACTCTTTCCTGTGTAGCTGGATAATAGCTGAGGGAAGTGCCTATCCAGGTTATGTTGGCAGGAATGAGACGAGGCTGTTGCATGGTGTCTGACTGTATCCAGCACAGAGCCCAGCTGGAGCAGAATTCAGCCATGCCCAGGGTCACCTTTCCAGTGATCCCATTAATCATCTAATGTTTATAACTATTAAGGGTGGGAGTAAAACATACCGTCCAGAGTGAAGGTCAAGCCAGTTACATTAACAACTGAGTGTAGCAGAGCTCCATAATCCTCTGCTGCAGGACTGAAAAGCAGAAAAGATCATAAGTGGAAAAAAATCTAATTTTTCTTCAATATAAAAACCGATTAGTTTTAAAGGAACTGTGTAGATTTCATTCAAAGGTTTCAAACAAATTGTTGTCACTCTGACATAAGAACAAGGCACATAAGGAGCACTCTGATCTAGTCAAGTCAGTTTGTGAAAAACAGTAATTTAGCATGGTGTCTGACTGTATTTACTACGTGCAAAGTAACACAGAATTCGGCCATGCAACCAAAAACATGCTTAACATTAAAACAAAGACCAAAAGGTTGGTAGGTTTTAGTTTTCACTCTCAAAACATGCTTAGTGTGGATGTTTGGAGGCATATGAAAAATACACAGCATACAAAAGTAAATAATAATTGAACTTAATTGATCTCACATTGGAGATATTAACCTCTCAATCCCCTTGAGGAGCAGTGGGCTGCCATTGTGCAGCGCACAGGCAGCAGTGTGGGGTTAGGGGTCTTGCTAAGAGAGGCAGAGTGGCAGTCTGTGGGCCTTAACCACTAGGCCGCCACTCCTCCCCCCCAGATGCATAGTGAGGCCCTATTGTTCGGCCTGAAAAGGATGTTAGAAGCTTGGACATGCTTTGTACCAGTTTATCATGGAAGGTTCTGGTTATGAATGAGTAGTATGTAAATAAACTAGTTATGTATTACCTCACATAGCTCCTTAAAGTGCTGCAAATACAAACTGAGGGAAAATCTTAAAGAATTAGTTAAGTACTTTACAAAAAAAAGTCTTTAGTGTCACTTTTCATGCATGTTTCCTCCTGCTGCCACATGAGGGCAGCGTTATGAATGGGTCTATAGGTTCTAAAGTTGTAATGTGCAGTGATAAGACAAATAAAAGCAGACACCAGCTGTTTGGTTCAGTTAAATCAAAGCTTAATGCGTGTGACAGTGTCTTAATTTATCTTCGTGGAACAAACAAACAGAGCATAATCTGTCTGCTGTCTGTCTCCAACTATCTTCTACAGATAAAAACTTAAATTATAAGCTTTGCTGCTGCTTAATTTCTGTTTTTAACGTGGATATTAAGCCTGCAGATAAAATGCTGATTATATTGTTATATTTAAATTGCTACACATTCTGATCTATTTATTGCGTGGTTTTGTTTAGAGAAAGAGGAATTAGAAATACTCGATTTCTTTTATTAAGATCAATCAAAAGGTCTTTCTTAAACTTGCATTTTGTAAAAAAAAAAAAAAAAAAAAAAAAAAAAAAAGAGAGAAAAGAAAAAGGGAAAACCAGGGTTCAGGACTTCCACCAGGAAACCAGTTAGCTCATGTGGTGAGCTAACCTGGGCCTGTGGGCTTTCAATCAGCAATGTCGACACCTACAATTCAAGCTAGGAAATGTTTCTGACTGCTAGCATAAGAATTTCACAATAACCACATTTCCCAAGATTATTTGAGCCATTTTTTTGCTAATCCATGACCATGTGCGCTTCTCATCCTCACCTTCTAGCATCTCATGGTGATGACTGCAGTCAGGCCGCCGCTTTCACGCTCCTCCTATAGCAAACACACCACCAACATTATAATTAACTTACATACATTTACAGAAGACACCTTATTATCCAATGTTAAAAATACATTTAGCCGTGAAGCGTCGCTTCCGCATTCAAACCAGATGTTAACCAAACAACTTTAGATTTAAAACGAAGAACATTTACACCTGATGACCTAAGTGGGCCAAATTCACTCTCGCACCTTTTAAATTGCATCTTTATCAAAGAATTCCTACATAATATCCCCTCTAACATCAACTGAAACCTACCTAAGCCAGCGTGGCCAAAGAGCATCTTTCTTCTTCTTCCCCTCAGAGCGCTTCTTCCTAGCGGTTCAAATCAGCAACGCAACTCATTAGCGCCCCCACTAAACTACAACCTGCTTCTTCTTTTCTATTATGGAGGATCGCACGCAACCTTTAGCTGCATACCGCCACCTACTGTACATGAGTGTGTAGCAAAATTATTTTACGTCATATGCTATTTTTAAATTTTGTATTCTGTAGATTAATAAATGATGCTTTCCTTCATCTGTGAATATCCTTTATATTTCCTTCATTTCCCAGTATTCCTTTAAAACTCCATTCCTTGCCTGTTCTTCCAACCAATCTTCTCAATTTCTCCCTTTCATGTTCATAAGTTTTACAGTTCATCAATACATGTTCTACATTTTCTTTTTTTCCACATCCTTCACATTTGTCATTATTTTCCTCCCTATTAAATATAAGTTGTCATTTAAATAGGTATGGCCCACTCTTAATATGATGATTATTACTTCTTCCCTTCTGTTTCTCTCATTAATGATTTTATTTAATACTGATTTTCGTACCTTATGTAATCCTCTTCCTTTCTTATTTTCGTTCCACTTTTTTTTGTTGCTATTTTTCCATTTCTTTACTCTTAATAAGTGATTTACCTTGCCTTTTCCCTAAAGGAACTTTAATGGTTATTGTTCCCTCTAAAGCCATTTTTGCCTATTTATCTGCCTTTTCATTGCCTTTTACAGCTTCAAGTGCTGGAACCCAACATAACCAAATATCAATTTCACCCCTATATAATCAGAATAGACTGTGCTGGATTTCTAATACTAAATGTTTTCTATCATTTCCTTTCTACATGAATACTTTCTAAAACTGCTTTGGAATCTGTACAGACCACCACCCTATCTGGTCTACCCTCCTCTTCCCATTGTAAGCTTAGTATAATTGCCACCATTTCTGCTGTGAAAACAGAGAGTTGATCTGATATTATTTTAGAAATATATATTTTAAACTCTGGTATATATATTCCTATTACCACACATCTTTTTAAATTCTTAGAACCATCTGAATGTATTTTAAGGTAGTTATAACATGATTTTCTTAAATATAAAACTACAACCTGTACTGCAAGACTTTTTTTCTAAGTTTAAAAAAAAAATGTTTTACGCTTTTAAAATGTGACCTTTACATTTTTGTGAACTGCAATTTTATTCTCCTTGTAAAAGATTAAATAAGTTTAAATATTTCATGCTTTAGATATATTTATAAACCAATTCTACTTGCTTAATGCCAAAACAGCATCAGATTTGTATTAATGTTGAAGGTTTCTATGCTTTAACTAAAGTAAACCAAACTGAAGTGTCCACCATGAGAAACATATATAGATTTACCACCAAGTGTGAAAAAACAACAACAGAAAAACCTCTACACCTGAAGCACATATAGGTTCTCAACCTAGACAATATGTTTAATGAAAAAACAAAATATTTCCATTTAAAACAATGTCAATTCTGAACTCAGTCCAGTAAATCGAAAGAGGTTTGTGAAACCTTTTTCTGAATTTTTACCGAAGCCAAAAAGTTTAACACAAAATAATACTGCAAAATACAAAGTAAATACTAGCCAAATTTGAGGAAAGTAATGAATAAACTCTCCCAAAAATCTCCCATTATAATAGGATTTGGCAAATATGGAAAAAAGCAAGAATCCATACTGACAGGATACACTTAATCAGATTTAAATCAGATAATTTGTAAAAAAAAAAAAAAAAAGTGTATTATTTGTCTTTCCATACATTCTACATAAAAACATCAGTTTTTCAGCTGGGGATGCAGAGTGATGTTTTTCACATGTTCTCCCTGTGCATGCATGGGTTCTCTCTTGGTACTCTGCCTTCCTCTCACAGTCCAAAACATGACTTTTAGGTTAGTTGGCATCTCTAAATTGTCCCTAGGTGTGAGTGTGTGTGCCTGTAAGTATGTCTCTATGTTGACCTGCAATGGATGGATGACCTGTCTAGAGTGTACCATTCATTTCACCCATAGAAGAGCAGGGTGCCAGGAGAAACATGCAAGAATTAATACACAATGAATATGATTTAAAAAAGTATTTTATTATCAGTTTGTCTTGCATACATCAGTATGTCCAACCCTCAAGGCTTTATAAGACACAAATATATACATAAATGTGAATGACAGATAAAATGGACATAGTTACCATTAGAGCAAACAAAGGTTCTCAGTTTAAATCTATTTAACTTGAAACATTTTCCTCTTATCATCATCACTGAAGCAGAGCACTTCAGGCTTTTTAACCAATAATGTCTTCAACAATGCATTTGTGAAATTATCATACAAAGAGCAATATAACACAAAAGGCAAAAAGAAGGCTACAATACAAAAAGTCTGTTTTCTCAAAATGTCCCTAAAATACAGATATTACATATTATTTTAGCTGAACTTTTGTTATCATTTTATTTTATGGAAACGATGCAATATTTAGTTTGTTGGCATAAATAAAGTTGTATGTTTCAAAACTAACTCTCATCCTGATCATGTTTATTGTCGATGGCTCCATTTGAGAAGAAATTGAATTCCACCATCGTTCATCAACACCTATGCAGATATGTTTTTTCTTCTCTTTTAGTTCTTTAGAAATGTTACAATACTCTCCTATACCTTTTGTCAACCGTTATTATTATTATTATTATTATTTTTTTTTTTTGGTTTTTGCAATTTTCTTTGAGCTTTGTAAATTTCATAATGAGAATCTGAGTACACATTGTATCAGTTTATAGTTCTTCAAAGTTTGAAATTGAGAGATAGAAATAATACATAGATAACAATACCACAGATTTATTATATCTACTGAATTCTACAACTAAAGATCATATTTAGGATACTATAACTTGTTTTGTGAACAGTGGAGCTATTGAGTCCATTCTCTAAATGTTTTACAACTTTGTAAAAATAATATTACAAACTGAAAAGTGTTTTTTTTTTTTGCAGTATTTTCATGAGATAATTGTTGTACATTTTTCTGTTTAAGAAACAACATGGCAGTAAATTTAACTCTGAGTTATTGTGCTATTAAACTTTCATTTTTTTTTTTTATAAATAAGCATGCCTAAGTAAACAAACAATTATTAGAAAACAATCTATATCTGCTGTATCTTTGCGATTGATTCTTTTTAGATTTTCTTTCCTATGGGTTGTATGGCTGTAAATGCAAACCTTTAAAGAGCTTGATAAGCAAATAGTTTGTATCTAATAGTTACAGTAATGTGGCATCCAGGAATGTACCTGGCCATGACTCTAAAAATCATCATTGGTATGATCTTTGATCCGTTTAGTTATTACTTTTGCCAAGATGGCCTGTGGTTATAAATTAAAATGCAGTTTATGAATCAGAAAAAAGCTGTATTGACAAGCAGCGTTTTACAGCTTTTGGGAATTGTTTGGGTGATATGAGGTGAAATGAGACACACAGACGAGCAAACATACAGCTGATATAAAGAAATGCAGGAAAATATATTAAAGAAGCCGCTTTTAGAGGATGATTTGATCCCAGTCTTTCTAAAAGGAATGGTTATCAGGACTCCTCCCTTCTGACACAACAGAGGACTCTCACCTTCTCTTCTCCAGACAAAGAATTTCCCAGATATCCTGAACATTTAAACAAATGACCCAGAAGATAAAAAAAAGGCTTCTTATCAGTCTCTTCATTGACCTGTGCTTACTTTGTCCCAGTCATAAGCTATGCACTACTAACTTCACTCTCTCACTCACTCACTCACTCACTCACTCACTCACTCACTCACTCACTCACTCACTCACTCACT